GAAGTTGTGTCGCTTATTGTGAAACCCTCTCACGATATGATGGATGAAATCGAGTTAATACTAAACACTGATTGCAAAGCATTCACCACCGATCAGGAGTGGACTGTATTGAAGCGTTTGGAGTTACTTATTAGTGATGGACAGCCAATAAAAGTGCAATTAATTAAATTGGATGCAACCACACATACACGACGGTATGTCTCCTATAGACTAAAACTAAATTATATTAAATATCATGATGTAATTAATATAATTTAATTTGTAATTTACATATTTGTAGTGTAATTATCATATTTACTGTCATAAACACCAATACTAATAAACGCATTCCTGGCGTTCAAGTCGTTAAACAATTGAAACAAAAATTAAAAACCGATTCAAGTCTTATTACACCCGATGTTCTATCCTTGGAAACAATGGGTTAGTTGTTAATGAATTAAGTGATGATTTGATCAATTAGTTTATTGTCTTTTATCTAAAGTGTGTCAAAATGAGTGTTCAAATCACGGCTCATGTGATCAGTACAGCAAACAATGCTTATGCGAAGCATTTTGGATGCAAGACATAATCCGATTTCATTTCGGTGATCGTGAAAGCAATTGTGGTAATTATTACACATTTTAGATATACTGTACAATTAATGCTTACATAAACATGCATTGATAGTTACAATTATTATCAAAACGACAACAATGTAACTGTTTTGACCATTAATTATCTATAGATTGGAGTGTGTTATATGTGATCGTCATATCATTTAGCTTTGTATTGGCAGTAATGGCATTGTTTTGGACGTGTGTTTGCTGTGTGTCGCGGCTGAAGGGCCAGAAGCGTCCGGTGCTGACCAAATCGCGTCGCTATCGTAAGTCTAATCGCAACAGATATACACTTCTGGAAGACGAGAACGACGACACGTTCACTGCAGACAGGATTGAACTGTTGGCCAATAATGTCAAAGAACTGAACGCTCGCAACGCATACCTGTCTGTTGACGACGACTCCCTCTCCGACACGTTGTTCTCAAACACTAATAATCATAACTTACTTAATAATAAACTTAATTCTCAGTCCAATGATCACCAGAAACGGCACCAAAAGTCACTCAATGGTCTCAAGTTGACGACGACTCCCTCTCCGACACGTTGTTCTCAAACACTAATAATCATAACTTACTTAATAATAAACTTAATTCTCAGTCCAATGATCACCAGAAACGGCACCAAAAGTCACTCAATGGTCTCATATCTGAGAGAAAGATTCGCACTTAAGGATTGATAGGAACACCACTTGTTTTACATAAAAACATGTTTTATATATAATTAACATTTTGCTGAAAGTCATGTCATTGTGTATTAAGTGTTCAATTGTCTGGTCTATAGTGTTGTGTTGGCTAATCTACTACACAGCTGGATAAGTTTTGATCATGAACAATCAACATTAAATGTAACAAAAATTATTGTTCATTCCACTATGATATATTTATGTACCGTATTATATTTAGAGATATAGACTATATCATATAGACTTATAGAATTATTAATTTGAACTCGGTTGATTAAAAAGTAACGCTATAAAGCTATTAACGGATTTTGCAAACTTATAAGTTCTAACCTGAAAATATCAGGTGAATATAATCAGTTTAATACAACGCAACAACCACAATTATTTCTGAGCACCGTTATTATATACGGTATCGTGGAATATACCTTATATTTTATAAGTAATCACTTATTTCCAAATTAGTTTTTTGTGGAAATGTAAAATGTCAGTTATTCAGTTAAATTACTTAACATGCTTTTTTATATCAACGAGTTCTTATAAAATTTTTGATGTATCTTGATGTACAGAATATATTGCAAACAAATTAAACATGTACAACACGATAAACATTGTATAATTAACAATAATTTAATTGATTCTGCATTTTTGATAGCATTTACAAGATTTAAATGATATTATAGATATTAACAACAGTTTGACATTTACTTTAATTGAAGTTTAAAGTATAAGTAATATAATAAATTTGCAATATTATGCATGCATTTCGTAGAGCTAGTAAATCTAAAACCATCGTCTGATCATTGTGTGTTTGATTAAAATGTACATGCATTAAGTTAATTAATCAATTGCACATCATTCACAAATAATGATTAAGGACTGTTCATTGAGAACTAGTGACATATTTAAATGACCATTTTATGCTACAACTAGAATATACTGTTTGTTGTGATGCAAAAGCTTAAATATAATACCAATTCTTTGCTTTAAATTTATCAAAAATAGTGTTATCACAACATTTTAGTCACTTTAATAGTTGACATATAAAAGAATTGAATTAAAATTAAACTCTAAAATCTGAATTTTAAAACAAAGAAAGTCAATTATATCTTACTTTTTTTAATGTTGTAATTATTTTATAGTCATGACTCATGCAAGTTGATTGATCATGTTTGGTTTTCTTATTATAAAATTATTGAAAATTATTTGCATTGATCGCAAAATAAGATACAATTCCACATTATAATTTATAAAATATATCCCAAACTATAGAACATTGACATACATTGTATACATTGTACATTGCATTCCATTAAATTAGGTAATTTATAATTATGTTTAGTATGTGTTTAATGTTAGTTATTTATCTAAATTTATCGATTCTACATTTTAAATGTCATATAACCTATCTATTAATGATTGTCTATTTATAATTTTCGATGTACATTTTATTTAATAATTTATACTGTATTTATACAAATTGATTATATTTTATTCCATAATATAATTTATTGTGGAATATATAACAAATAATTAGTCACTATTCTATTACAATATATTAATTTGTGTTAAAGTTTATTCTTAAATGTGTATACATTTTATTTGTTTTGATTAATATATTTTAATTACTATTCTGTGATAATTAAATTGTGTTTGTAATTGAATACATGCTTGGTAATGTGCCCTGGGTCACAGTTCAGGTCAAAGTTAAGTGATGTCTGGGTCTCTCTCTCTCTCTCTCT